TACAAAATCTGCATCATGTAAATCGCATGTAAAATTCTATTTAAATATAGTAACCACTTCCTACGTTATATCATTCCATATTTTATTTGAAAAAGATTTGAAAAAATTCTGATAAATATACACATAGAAGTGCAACATAGAAGTTGCAATGAAAACAAAAGAAATTATAAAAAACATGCATAGGACTATTAAATTAGATGAAGATAAGATTATAGAAACAATAAAAATTGATTTATTTAACAATAAAAAGATAAAATGATGTGAAGAATAGAAATTCTATGAAAATTACCGTTCATTCCAATAAAAGATGTTTTTCTGCCTTTCATGAGACCCGGAGGATCATCTAAGCGGTTCATAGTACATTAACTCTCACAAAGAAAATAATTTTCAATGTTATTTCAATAATTGAACTAACAATATTTATAAACTTCTTAATATAAACTATGTTGTCCTCAGTTGCACTACTCAGTAACGCTTCACGTTATGCACTTCTAAACGTAAACAAAAGAATAGCAGCCACTGCACCCATTCAATATCTTTAGTCACGGACACGGTGTATACTATAGGTGTGCTTCACAGTATAAGAACAAGAAGTGCATTCTGCTTCACAATATATAGCAAGCATTCTTATCCCCACCATTTTAATGCGCATACAGATCCGCGCAGTTGCTTTAAAAAAAGAACGGGAAATGATCGAAAGAGACAAAATGAAACCAGCGGGTTCTATGGTGGGTGTCCACACAGACGAAAAACCTAGGATGTCTCATTTTACCATGCTCGCAGTCTCACTCTTTTCGCACATCTATGTATACGCCTGGTGCTCCATCTGAAACACTTGATGCAATATTCGACTTATACTTTTCGTCCCATAGGATTCTCGACCACACAGTCCCGCGCATTTGCGAACGTCCTGAAACGACGATCATTTCTACTATTATTAAAATTTTTGAAAACCCGTAAGTTGTATTTTAGCTAATGGTTTCTACTTTATGAATCTACAAAATTTTGTTAATTCAGCCATCCCAGTATGTACTTGTTAATTGAGACGGTCAACAATCAATATCATACTGTACGAGAAGGAGTTTCGAAATATTTGTTAGCTGTGTTTTTGTTTTTATGTAGTTTTATGGGGATATACAATTTGTACGAAAACCTTGAAGACTAGTTCAATTGACACCGAAATAATTTTCTTCATCTAATGAAGAAATAATGATTCCGGAGAAGAAGGTAGGCAACTAAGACCAGCAATAAAAGGATTTTCGATACCTGCACAAGTCGTTACTGCGTACTTCGAGGCCCGAATTTTGGGGTTGTAAACCGCCCGGCCTAGCGGTCCCGAGGCTGAATAAAAAGTTTCCGCAGGTATCAAGAATCCTTAGAATTTACTGTATCTAGACCAGCAATAAAAGAATTAACAGTACCTACGGAAACTCTCGGTCTCGGGCCCGCTAGATCGGGCGGTTCACAATCATATATCACGGGCCGCGAAGTGCGCAGGATGGGGGTGCTAGTGAAATTTCGTTGGGACGTGAAGTATGTGGCGCGAGGTTTAAAGTCCAGAATTGCAAGCTGCAAAATTTGATTTTACGCCTTTTCCGATCGAACCACAGAAGCAACATCAACCTCCAGTGTTTCACAATCTCCTCTATTTAATAATAACGGCCCTTTTTGGGCCTCAAATTCATTTCAGCCTTATTCACTGCAGAAGTGATAATGTCGATACGATAATTAAATACCATTTTCTATGTTACCCAGAGACATACAAACAACATTTCCTTATATTCCTAGTTTCGTTCATAGCTTCGATAATTGCGAAATTATTCATTGTTTACGAAACTCCTTCGCGTAGATTATAATATTGATTGTTGGCCGGGATGGCTGAATTTAAAAAATTACGTAGATTCATAAACTAGAAGCTATTAGCTACGAATGTAACTTACGGGTTTTCGAAAATTTCAATAATCGTGGAAATGCTCGCAAAATGTTTTCATTCTTAACTCTAATTCTGAAAAAAACTGAGTTTGAAAATTTTTTTTATAGGTAATTACTACATTAAATATGTAGTCTTTCTAAGATAATATAAATGCAAGTTTCAGCTTTGTTCTTCAAATTTTTAACAGTAAAAATCGTATAAAATTGCAAAATTATTCGTTGTTTTCAAAACTTCTTCTCGTACAGTATCGTCCCAGTACTGTTGCAGTTTTGTTACAGTACTTTGTTACAGTTAATAAAATTTTGTAAATTCATAAAGTAGAAACCATTAGCTAAAATGTAGTTTACGGGTTTTTTGAACATTTTAATAAATACGCGCATACGGATGTGCGAATAAAGTGAGACTGCAAGCATGGTAAAGTGAGACAAACTATTGGTCGTCGGTGTGACATGTTTCGTTTGTGTTGTGCTCTCTCTCTCTCTCTCTCTCTCTCTCTCTCTCTGATGTGCTTTCTTGCTCACTCACTACTTCCTCTCTTTGTCTAGATCTGTGAGGGCAGCACTGTTTAACTGTGAAGCGACCACCAATCAGAGAAGAAGCAGTTTTTCTACCTACTTCATAATTTTAAGCCAATTGCCCCCGCCTTGGCTTACTATGGTCACCCACCATAAAACTGCTGTGACATTAATTCTAGCAAGTTTCCGATAGAGGTGCTTGTGAAGATATGATCTTTACTTGGGGAAGATTTTAAGACAACAAAAGCATAAATATGTAGTATTGAGAATGATTTGTCAGTTCGTCAGTCTGTAGTCTGTAATCGAAGTAGTAACAGATCTGGTGTAATTCTTAGAACAGTAAGTAACATTTCTAAATGAAAGAAATTATTTTCTTAGAGTACTACACAATTTGCAATTTTTACTTGTAGATTTAATTACAGCACGATGTATTAAATAAGCACATCAAGAAACATCAATTCGAGATGGAGTACATTCAAAAACAATAATCAGAGAAGCAAAGACTGCTGTAGAAGAAGAAATGCAAATTAATAGAAGAAAGATATACATACTACATACTTGACTCAGATAGAGAAGGAACGGTCAGAATTGGATGAAAAACTGTCAGAGAAAGATGCAGAAATAAATAAACTTTCAATAATTTTAAAGGAGCTGAGGTCTTTTACACAGATCCACTGGTAGATTCAGACGACTATCTGAAAATACAAATTAAACTTTGGTAAATACATTTGCTGTAGGTTTACAATTGGAACTAGATTGGCAGGAAGAAAGGAAGAATTGCAAGCTCTAAAAAGTCAAGTTCGAGAGGAAGCTGTGGAAATATTAGCTAGAAGAAAGAAGTATAATCTTATTTATGTATAAATAAGATTAATTATAAGATCTTACATATTATTAAGATCTTATTTATGTATAAATAAGATTATATCTAAACATTTAAAAAATTGTTTAGACTAGAAAAGTTACAATGAGAGAAAATCAAGTATTGGTTTCTGAAGTAACTAAACATGTCGAAAAGTTGCAGCATGAATTGAAACTAGATGAGCATTATGGTACATATACAGATACACGATTGAATGAAACAGTTAGATGATAAAATTAGTAGTATTCAATTTGAATCTGGAAGAAGTAAACAAAATTTAACTGATTAAATGTGAATTTGAAACTAAAATCCAAGATTTAAAACAGTAACGCAATCATATGAAGACTGTGAGGCAAAAGATGCTCAAAATGCCGAGGTATTTTTATTTGTTTATATCTTAAATATAAATCTTGATTTTAGAATTAATTTAGGGGATTTTATTTAATCTAATTAATCTTCGATTTTAAATACGTTTACAGGAGATAAGAAATATGCTACCTGAATTGGAGGAAAAGAGTAGTTAGTACTCAGGAACTTCAGACTTCTCAATTAGGAATGGTAAATTGTGAACTTAATCTACAAGTAGAAAAAAATAAAGTTGAAATGGCAGAAAGTAATAAATTCTTGGAAGATGAAATAATAAAATACAAAGATATTTATTTAGTTAATACAGTATAATTATACTGTGGAATTTATAAGGATACATTTCTAGGCAAACGTCAGAATAGGAGAACTTTGTAATACAATTAGAAAAATGAGAAGGTGCATAATAACATGCATAGAAGACAATACTGAATTACTTGAAAAAGAAAGACTCGACGAGGAGCCGCCGAAGAGTATCTTCCTTGCGCATAAATCATTTTATTAAAAAATTGTATTCTTGAAATAAGACAATATGTTTGCGTTACTGCAGAGAAGTCAACAAATTTCTTGAACATAACGCGCGTTTAAGAAAGATCATAAAGCGATTGATGAAATATAATATGAGCTGATAGACCATCAAAATCATAATCAAATGTGTCTCAATTGAAAGATAAAATCACTCAACTGGAAATGTTGTGTTCAATAATTTACAAACTATTTTTCCCTAATGAAAGTACAGAATATTACATGCAATATAATAAAATATAATGCATGTTTTTAGGACTGTTACAAGAAAACGAAAATATAACAGCAACAAAAAATCATTGAAAAAATAAGATCGAAAGAGAAATATGAATTTCGGATTACATGTTCCTTGTGGAGGTACAACATATGCAAATGTATTTTTATGTTATTATAATACTCATTTAACTATGTAAATACTTACTGCGCAATTTGTGTAATTTTTCCAACTTCCTTTTTATAAACAGCAACATCGTTTAACTTAATATTTATAACGTAATGAAACCGTAATAATTATTAACCACTGAAAGTTGCAATCACTGAATTTTTGGGTAAAATTCTTTTCCTTTTATTCTATAATCTCTCATCACGGTATCTGCGTGAACTGTGTAGTATTGTTCCAATTTGAAGGGACGGTTATAATAATCAACCTCGCTGTTTACCCAATCAACAGATAGTACAGTAGAAATTCGTTTATCGGGACTCTGTTTATCCGACGTACTAATAACCTGTTTACGGACGATTAGAGGTCAGGAACGATGCTCCTATTTATCCAACTCCAGTGCATGCAACATATCAATTATGTCTACTTACGATTTACTGTACTATATGTTTTGTCCAAAATTATATTCTCAGTGTCTTCTCACAAATCAAGTGAAAAGAAAAAAAGACTGGTGCTGTGTATTGATGACAAAGGATCCAGCTGAATAAGATGGTAAAAATTGCACTTATTATTAGAGGTTCTTCAATGACTATAACACCATTTGATAGCTGATCAAGAAAAACTTTTCTGTACAAAATTGAACCTTCTAGCTTGTCCATGAGGGTAGTTACAGGTGACAGGGTAAATTATATTGCGTACTTTTCGCGCATTTTCCCCTCTCACCGCAAATATTTTGGAACTTAAGCAGCATACTAGAGGATTTTTTCAGATTTTTTTGTTGCAAACTATAGTTGCAAAAAATAAAAAACCAAAAAAAAGCGAAAATTTGCAAATTGCGTCTGCAGTACAGATTTTAAATCCATTTTAAATCCATTTTAAATCCATTTTAAATCCAATCCAGCTTGAACTAGAAACATTTGGAAAGATGTTTAAAGTAGTTCACAAGATGATGGATTCCATTTAAAACAAATTTTTATCAATTATCAAATTTATCTACTCTACTGGAAATTATGTCAAATTTATTTAATACTATATTAAATTCCTCGTTGAATTCAGCATGAATCAATAAAATCTGAAATATAGATTTTCGCTAGAAAAATTTGTCTTCAGCAAGATGTAATGCATACTATAACGAATTAACATAGAATCGAGTTTATTTGAACAGACGCCAAACAAACTGCCATAATCACATCAATTTTCTATACGTCTTACACGTGTACTTATATATAGTCAAGAAATCCTGAAATAAATCTAATTGAACGTTTCCGTTGTAAACGATTACACAATGCATGTAGAACTTTACCAATTTCTGCACATGCTGGGCGTGTGTGTGCAGTGTGCAGTGTGCACCGATTATGCGCCACGTGGAGACATTGCAAACGACCCTGATTGGTTGCAGGTCATCATGATCTTCTTTGGTGGGGGCGGGGGGGCGGGGGGGGATTGTGACGGTCGAAAAAGGTCGGAGGACCAGAAGGGATGGGAGGATTGGTGAAGGACGTTCCTTTCAACCAAGAAATTAGCCAGGAGTGGGGAACTTGGCTACACGTGCGATTTCCTTCCCCTTCTCTTCCTCTGACCTCCTCCCTTCTCTCTTTTACTTCTCGTTTGTAACGCCAATGTTTCTTTATCGTTTCTGGTTGCATTTAAACCGTCTCGATATTCCGGGATAACTACTATGGAAAACGATTTTCAGAGCATTCTAATTAATCGATTGCAAATGTTCATGTAAATTCGTATTTTCTTGAGGAATAATTTAGAAATGTCGAGTGAAGCCTGATTTGGATGGAAGTGAAATTAATATTTTATCAAATGATTTTAAAATTGCTATTTCATAAGTGTCTTCATCTTTTTTGTCTCAAGATTACTTTCTTTATTTTAAATTCTCAATTATTTAAATACAATTTAATCATAAATTAAGGCTACATTTGCAAGTTTATGATTTTAGTCAATAATTTAAGAAAGTGGAAAGTAGATAAAACTTTATATCCTTTAATACAAATATTATTAGATTTACAATAACTAGACTGCGGATTTTTATACAAAATAGACATAATCTGCTTTGACTGCAAAAAATAGTAACTAATTAGCAAGTTCTTAGTCTCAGTCTTATCGCAGATACATAAAATCAGCAATCTAGTAATGACATGCAGAATTGAATTATAAACTTTAAATGGTTTAAAATGTTTTATTTCTATAAACTATTTTAAAGGTACAGTAAAAGTAAGGTACAAGAAGCAAATGAAGGTTTCATCCATATTTCATTTTGTACTAAATTACAGCATCGTTGGATTTTTTAAAATAAAATTACAATATTATGAATTTTATGTATATGTGAGAGCTGTTTTTTATGAGACACCGTAGAGTGTCATATATATCTGCGGCCAAAGTATTTGTCCATCCTGTTTTAGTTATCTAACTTTTATTACACAATTATTACGAATAATTACAAGAATCATTAGTGGAAATTGCAACAATGGACCGTTCGACGTATTAATATCTTTAGGTACTGAAGACGTTACCTTCCGTCTTTGATTGTAGAGTGCCAAGAATAGAAGATGTGATTAATAAATAATTTTATAAAACATAGATGTTGCTTACTCTTGGAAACTACAATTGTATAAAATTAATTTTATACGATCTACAAACTGTGAAGAACACTGTATTATAAATTGTGGTTTTGCTTTTGAAAATTAGTATTTTATTATTCTTATCAATCAATGATTGTAGCTCGTTTAAATTCGTTAACAGTGCAAAATGAAATGATGGCATTGAGTCATGAACGACTCGAATACGTCTGACGCAGCTGAAAACTGAGTACGTGTTGTATAATTAAAACTAAATTGACTCGACGAAGGGTTTCCGCACATCCTCTTCTCGAATATCCTGCAGACATCGTCTTCAGTCTCATAAAACATAAACGAAACGTTGAAATTTCTTATTACACAACATTGATGTTTTTAAATTATTTTCCTTAAAATAGGAAAATAGGAACAAAAGAGTATCGAATTATTAAAATTTCTATTTTATATTTCATAACATACGAGATCTTTTGTCTGCACTATTGACAGTGTCAGTCATAGAAGAAGCTTTTCAATTCTATTGCAAGAATAATACAACGTTTGACGTCATTTCCGAGAACAGCTAAAACATATACAGCGTGTCAAAGAAATATCTATAAATGTATAACTCATCATTAGACTGCGAATCATCATGCACAAATTTTTATTTTTACGAATTCTTCTATAAAAATCTGAAGAAGCAAGAAAATTTCTTATACCAACTAGAGAATGTCTTGCAGCAAACATACAATAATAATACAATTAATTAATATTAATATATACGGTTACTTGCATATACCCGTAAATGCATAAAGATCCTCAGTCTACTTATTATTATTTTTTATTCAATGAATTCTTCATTGAAATGTATTCGATCTTTTAATCAATTTTATTAACTCTAGAGTTTATGTTTACGTAAATCGAAGGCCTGTATGTAGTAACAATGCTTATTGCAAACCTTTAAAACCTATCTGCATATTTTTTTTTAAGGAACATGTTTTTGATTATGTTACAAAGTATTGTTTGTTTCTTGACCTAACAATAGAAAGCATTTGCGTGGTGAAATACAGTAAAAAATACAGTAATGATAATGGAACCCCGTAAATAATGGTCTTGCGGTTTTTTAAGGACAGCTGTCCCATCCGACAGAGTCAGGTGTGTAAATGGTGATCATCTCGGAAATAACAAGGAAACATGCCGACAGCTGATCACTGACTTACATTCAAAAGGGAGACATGCGCTGTGTCGGATCTATGTGCCATGAACGACGGTTTCTTTACGTCACCGAAATTAGTAAATCTCTTAGATGATATGGCTATGACGTTCGTAGCCAGCACCACGTGTCTGCGGTGAAACTCTATTCCTCTGCTGGCTTTGACATAGATTTCGCATCTGATTTAGAAATCATCCGGTGGCATTTATAACGATTTGTGGGATCAGCAGCAAATGATTATCACAATATTTTAGGAGCGCACGAGCTTCTGCCTCTTCTGATATCTTGCAGGCTTATTGTTTGAGTTCCATATTCGTTATGAAACGAATTTTATTTCGTACACGTAGGATTATTTTGTGTATTGATTTTGTATATGCTATCAAAGATGTTTCAGAAATATTTCACTCAAATATAAAATTTAATATTATTTTTACACCGCCCTTTTACAAAATTAATTTTATATTATTATAGGAAACGTGTTTAAACTTAAAAAATATACTTTCAAAATTAAATTTCAAAAAGACATCTTTGGTAAAGATAATGTTAAGGAAGTTAAAATTATTTGATGCTAAGTTTATTTTTCGAAATCTGATGTGTGGTTTCTTAGGGTTTGTGTATATTCGGTGCAGTCCGGATATATTACACGAGTATTTTAATATTTATTATATTTAGTTTTATGTATAGTTCATGAAAATGTTTCAAATTAACATGTTGATTAAGAGAATTTGGAAAACTATTAGTTTGTTTTCAATATTGTTTCCAATTTTGATTAATTTATCGACAATGTGAGAAAAATCAAAATGATCACATGTAGAGAGAGGAAAATAATTACATTCTGAAAAAAAATTTTGTATAAAAGTTTATTCTATCATATATATATATACACATATTGTAATAGATTTTTCATGTACTACAAGGTACTAAAATAAATAGATACTAAATAAATGAAAATGAAATTTTATTACACTTAGGATTGCTCATAGAATTTTGCACAGATTGCTACAGAATACTACCCTACGATGTAAAACACGGCAAAAGATCACGACATAATCATCATATTTTTAATTTCATGTAGAATAAGAGAAATCTTCGTTTTTGTGATTCAGACAAAAATTGAATCCTTTAGATTGTACGCAAACTAATGACTCCAATTACGAACAATTGTAGCAATATTAAGAGACTTTATTGTTAATACAAAAATTTGTTGTACTACCTAAATGTTCAATAAAATCCTCCTGAAGTGTTGAAAGAGTTTAATTTATGATTGTTGAGAAAAAAATCACTGATAATTCAGTGTCCTAAATCAAATTCTCCCCTTACGGCAGCCACGGAGAACATTTTCGCTAATGAAAAAGTTATCTCAAATAATCTCTGCTTTCAATTTTGGGATACTCTGTATAACTGGAACTCTGCAGACCCGAAGTTTCTCGAATAATAGAGAATACTGTAATTCTAAAAACTCGGAATCAAACACTGTGTGTCTGTGGCATCGGGTGAGAAGCGGTGAAAAAAGGAAAAAATGCTACAAAGCATGTTCCGGCTCGCTTTCCCGCGGAATCTTTTAGAATATCGCATACTTACGAGGTGGGGGTGCACGTGCCGCGGCTTTTGTTATCGAGATTGTCGTAATATCGGAGCTCGACGCGCGTGCACGAGGACCGTGCATCTACGCACGCGTGACCGTGTTGCGCGCAACCACGAGGGGGGATAACATGGCGGTGCTCGATCGCCGTTAGTTGATGTACGGACGCCAGCGGATTTGGATCATCCTTCGAAAT